TGATTTAGAAAATTAAATCCTTTTCTTCTTATTCCCTCTTTCTTACTTTTTACCTTTTCTCCTTTATCTCTTAATTTTTTTCTCCTTACATTTTTCTTGAGCAACTAGAAAACATGCTCATTTTGCATATGAAGATTAGAAAACTGTAAGATGATTTCCACTGCTATCCGCTTTCTTTTGTAATGTTTCAATGCGGTAAAAATATAAGTGTCAGGATCACGATTTCTAAGGAAGAAAGTCTGTTATGATGGAAATTTTTGACCACTTACTTGCAGCTATCAATTACGTAGACAACATCATTGATCGTGACACTTGTTTCCGCAATATTCGTCGAAAGAATAATCTAAACAAGCAGTAAAATTTCAATTTTTTTTTTTTTTTAAATCTATCCTTAATAATGTTATTTGAACGCGATCGGAGAAGTATGATAATACCAGGCAACGGTATGAAGAAATCGGAAACTGTGAAGAACAGAAGTTCAATCTTCCCCTGCCTCTCTCTCCACCATCCTTGCCTGGAGCTATCTTTTGGAATTAGCAAGCTTAGAACCAAGCATCATGGAGGAGTTGCCGGAGCTGGAAAGCACCAAGCGGGCTGAGCATGTGAAATTTTTGGCGGGAAAATTACCGAGTCAGGAACCAAAAAAGCTAGAAAGCTAAAATTTTAGGGGAATGTTCTCTGTCAAAGTGCAACTTAAATATTTCAAATTCAGCCTCCAAATATGAGCAGTCCTCACGTATGGGCACTTAAAAGTTTCGGCGAGAAAATGGCTCACTGAACAGCTAGGTTACTTTCAAAGAACGGCCGTTAAACGGAAAATGTTCATTTCTTTTATGCAAAATTGTTCTTAGTGGCCGTTTCAGATATTCAGGTAAGTGTTGTAGAAATTTCAGAAATATAAACAATGGATATCGTTGGCTAGGAGGCTGGAAGAGGAGGAAAGCCTGAATTGATTTATGCAATTGATTTATGAACATCTTCAGGAATTATATTCAAGAAAAGTACAATTCCTGAAGGTATCCGTAAATCCCGTTCAAAATCTTTGAATTTATATCAACAGGGCAAAAGAAGCAAATAAAAATTACCTTTCGCATGTGTGGTGGATAGCGTTCAAAAACTCGGCGTTGTTCCTGGCCTGTCAACTGCGAATGCAGTGGGAGTACGATAAATTTCGATTCGTTACCAAAAACTGAATGCGCTCGCAGGTAATTCAGCAACATCGAAATGATATTCCAGCCGGGCAAGAAAATCAGCACGGCACCTTCCTCACCTTGCCCAGTGATATCATTTAGAAGTGCCTGAAACAGATGACATTCATAATTTATGCTTATACAATTTTTAATTTTCGAATAACTGATTTCTCCCCCAATAAATTGCGACTAAGTCCATAATTAATTTAACCATAACTTTTATTAACTTCAATCACCACAATCGCTGTACTGACGAAGTCCAGCTGTGATAATGATAAGAAATGTGTACGACTTAATGGACCGAAACACTTCTTACCACTCGAATAATCTCACAAATTTTCGAATTTTCATTTCCTACCCTCCTTTTTCTTTTTCGTTTTTTTCCATTCTTTCCTATTAAAACTTTCTATTCCAAGTGAGAGTGCAGGTCTAGACAATTTCGACGTGTCAGGCATAAAGTCCCCTTTATCATGTCCATAAAAAATGTAACACATTTTCTGCGGCTAAATTTGGATGGCACAGCTACTGTCATGCCGATCAGAGAATAATGATAATGTACGCTATATAGTGCGGTAAATTAGCGCCTTTTTCCTTTAAAGAAAACCCTTTAAATTTTGGTCCCAAAACTTCTTTTTTTGCTTTGCTTGCTAAGTTTTTGCATTGAGGATCTACGCGATGAGATGCTATACTCGAAGCGTAAGCGACTTAGCTGCTTGCCACTGATATCCAAACCATCCCCTTAATTCAAATTACGAAATACCATATCGAGGCAGCCTGTGTGTAAAGCTTTGGTGATACTGGATCTCCCCCTCCTACCCATACCCTTCATAACCGCCGTATGGATTCATAAGTGCCAAAAAATAATATATCCGTCAAGCAGCCTATACTTACATCCTCAGTTTTCACATATTTATAAAGCCCTTCACCTATATCAACTCGTCGTAGCATAACCTTCCGCTCTAGGCAGCTGAATCGATGAATAATAGAAAATAAATGGCAACGCGCATCAGACTAGCCGGTGCGATCATGCGTTTTGTGCAATTCAGCCCATC